CCCCAAAACCCCAAAACCCCAAAACCCCAAAACCCCTATTCACTTCGCATTTGTTGAATGCCCAATATAGTGTAGATTAGCATAAGACAGACTAGACATAAGGAGCTGATCCTGATGACTTTTTGCCTAATTTTATTCTGACTCTTGAGTACGGAGATGAGATAGACTTATTCAACCTCATCTTAGGCGCACTAGTAGCAATATTTGACTCCTTTAAGATAGACTTATTGAGACTCTTTATATTGTCTCCATTTTTATATGGAGATGCTTTGTGATTCTGGAGGTTTGGATTACTAACACTTTCACGAAGATTTGGCAACATTTCACTTGCTCTGTCTTTATATTTCTTCAAATCATTTATCACTTTCTTCTTCAGTGCTTTTGAGGTTACTTGAATAGAATTCTGATGGCCAAAACTCTTATTTATTTCAAAAGTTTTACTATGGTCTTCAAACCCATAAGACTGATTAACTGGAATATGAACTTTCCTTTTAGATTGAAAATTTTTCTGAGGAAGACGAGCTCCAGCAGCGAATTTATTTATCCAAAATACCCCTCTCATCCCAGAAGTTGTTCGCATTGCTGAAAGTGCCGCCGACTTTTTGGTCTTTCTTGAAGCCATGGTATCTCCCAGGGGATCCACCAAGGACAGAAAGGATCTCTTTCCTATCAATAAACAACTTCTTGTTCTTATGCCTAAACTTTTTAGGCGAGGCACCTTCAATGTCTTCAGTTGATATATTCCTGCTATTATTGTTAAATTTCAGGGATGGTAAATTTTCAGATGTATTTGCATCAGCATTCCCATAACTTTGAAACTTGTGCTGACTGTTCCTCAAGCTAGGAGAACTCATTATATTCTTACAGACGACCATATTCCTTGTTGCTCTATTGGTGTGTTAAGTCATTATGTTCCATGATTAACAATTCAAGGGCGAACTTACTTTAATTGGCTATGGCTGGTCATCCTTCTATCTCTCATAAACTGCCTGAGACGGTCTTCTTTATAATCGACCGATTTGCGGTCTTGTAGGGAGTTTTTCCCCAATATTGCCCTTCCTGAAATAGGGTCAATTACAATTGTTCTATCACTGACGAGAAATGTGTTCATTAAGTTTTATTTTGTAAATGTTTATCAATTTAATTATCTTAACATGGGGTTTTGGGGTTTTGGGGTTTTGGGGTTTTGGGG